CTTAAATTCCATTACTCAATACAAAAATACAGTCTTAAAATAATCTATATTGCAATTGTTTAATGCAGCTGGTTTTACTTGGATTTTCTTTATCTGCAATTGTTTTTATGTTTTCTGTTTTGGACTGAAAATCTAAAATTTTCTCAAACATAAAAGCCAACTGAGAATAATGATAGCATTTATACTACAAGTGACTTCATGAACTTTGCTCTGTGCCACATCACACCAGCTCCCTGGAGAGTGAATTATCCACCAGACCGGGAAGACAACTGGAGGGTCCTGCTGTCCATGCACAGTGTGTACAGAGTGTACAGTGTGTGCAATATATCCTACAGTGTATATATATACATATATATTTATATATCACAAACACATGTGATGCACTCTGTCTCCAAGCTCTTCTCCCCTCATGACTGAATGTGACACTGCCACTCCCCACTGAGGAGCTGAGTATAACGCTGTTCCATATACACACATAGCAGCTCTCTCTCTCTCTCTCTATTTCTGTCCTTTCCTCTTCCTCATTCTGTCCCTCTCTCTTTCACACACACCTCATGTCCCACGAGTGACAGTGATGGCCGTTGACAGCTCAGAACATGATGACAGGGCCAGCGGCCACCTGCCATGCAGAGGGGGAAATCCCTATGAAATAAATATCACAAACACACACACTTCACTCGGGGAAATGGGCAGGGAACAACCTGCCCAGCTGACAAGGTTCACGTTTAACCCTCACGCTACTGAGTGCATGTCTGTAGTGGGCGAAAGATACAAAAGAAGGTGGGGGAAGAAAGAAACAGTGCGTGCAAGTGTGTGTGTGCAGATTGTGTGTGAGCATGTGTGTGTATGAGTGTGAATATAAGTGAAGCAGGCAGAGCTCACTGTGCACTCACTTTCTTTTTATATACAGGCTGGATGGAGAATCCATGTACCCTGTCAGCTTGGGACATTCTGCACAACACACACACACACACACACACAACACACACACACACACCACACACACCACACACCAGAGAGAGGAGAGAGGACGAGAGAAGAGAGAGAGAGAGAGGAGGAGGGAGATGGAAGAGAGAGAGAGAGAGAGAGAGAGAGAGAGAAGCTTGCATTTGTACATTAAAAGTGTGGGCTGTCTTGGAGGAGGCAGCCGAGGTGTAAAAGCCTCTCCTCTCTTGGTTTAAGAATTGAGAAGTGTGGTTCCTGATGGAGAAAAGTGTCAACGTACAGTCATTGTTAGCACTGGCCAAAATGTCCTCACGACTTTAAACATCCTCCTGAGATAAATTTAAAAATCTAACCAGGGCTACAAATGAGCCTGATGCCCTATATACATTTGCAGTTGCATTGCATCCCCCTCTGTTAACAATGTTTGTTTGTAGTGTCCCAGTTAAATAATCTAACAAATAAATCAATAGGTGACTTTGTCCTTGCAAGCATAGAGAAACAGAAGCAAAGCCAGACACAAACACCTGGCTGAACTGACTCATTCAGGCTTGCTCTGACTCCAAAGGTGCTGTCATGGCTCTTATTTCTCCTTCGCTTTTAACTATCATGCTTAAAATGTAGTTAAATGCACACTCACATGCAGTGTACATCTATAAACACACACACAAAAAAAACATAAACTAGCAAAATACAGCTATAAAGGTTGAGAAGGGTACAGATATAAACTTAGAACTGTGGGCAAGATATGTACAAAGACAAAAACAATAATCTTCATCCACTCTTTAGTGAACAAAATGTACAAAAAAAAAAGAAATTCTGCTGATTCTTCTTTTTCTTGCCCTCTCTTTGACCTGCAACTGACAGACTTGAATAAAGTTTCTCTTCCTCACGGCCACTGTAGGACAGGCTGTCTGGAACACGTCACCAGTCCAGGCATAGCCGGAGGACAGGACAGCCAGTCAGACACACGAGTGACTGGAGTGCAACTAACCAGCCAAAGAGGAGGACATCGAAGCTTTTACCAGTGAACTTGAGCTTGAGCTACCGTGATACAGTCAGAAAAAAATGTCCGGTCAAGTTTGTGCAAAAGTGAAGGGTTCCTATCATGCAGATTTTACTGCAGTCAGGATGTTAATGTGAGTTCAATGTTAAATTAAATGAAAAGCCACAGCAGCTTCATTTATGCATTTTTCAGCCCATCTTAATGTGAGTGTTTAAAATTTTCAAACAAGCAATTTTACAACATCAAGAGGGGCTCAAACACTGGGAACTTGTGGCCTCACACAGCCCTGGTCATGAAATGGGAGATGGTTGAGTGGGAAAGAGAAAGCAAAGACAAATATTGTTTGTTCCCTGAGTTAAGTAACGGGGCAGACAGTTTTAGGCAAGATGCCCCATCACTTCCACTTCACTGCTCTGCAGCGGAAGCGGGTTAAAGGAGTGGGTGGTGATCACAGTGGAGGCAAAAAGGGAGAGGAGGAGGCTGGAAGAGAAGATGCATGTGTAAAAAAAAAAAAAGAAAGAAAGACTAGGAACAAAGTCGCTGAAGGAAGGACAGAAGCGGTAGAGAAAGGGGAAGCTGATACATAGAGACATATAAAAGAAAAGTAGATAAAGAATTAGTAGAAGGGACGAGGAAGAGATGAATGATGAAGAAAAAAAAGGAGAGTGGAAGCAAACAGTTGGACAGGGTGAAAGACAGAACAGTGAGTCATCAGACCTCAGCCAGGAGGTTTCTTATTTAATTAAACATGAACTCAAAATAAAAATATATGTCTGCTCTTTCTCTCAAAGGGAGGCAATTATCTGATATTTTTCTAAGTTTTTGATGGCATGAACCTACATCACCTTCTGTGCTTCGAGTAGTTTTTCACTTAGACACCTGCACGTCAGGATTAAAGACGACATGAACAAACTTGTGCTCGGACACATCAACTGTTCTTTAAGGTGTTGTGAGTTTTCAGAAACGCTTTCAAACCGGTTATCCTAACTTGGCATATTGCCACTGTTGTCTGTTCATTCACTATTGATTTAGTATTTATAAATTTGATTTATTTGGATACTTTAACAAACAGGCTTTTGTTATAGTTCTGGTGGATTTCATACCTGCAGACTCCTTCAAACACAAAGGGTGAATCTAGATTGATCTAGAGAGACCTATAACTACTATAAACTCCATAAACTCTTTCAGGAGTCACCCATGAACTCCGTAAGAATAGCTCAATGTAAAGAATAGGACCCAGAACTGTCCCCAGGTGGTTGTGCCCTCCGTCACATTCTTCATAAACAGGTTTTGTGAATCATCTCTAGTGGAAAACAATGACATTTGTGTTCTCAGCTCCTCTGAAGTCGCTTGCAAGAATGTGGACATTTGTACTGGAAAGCCTAGAGGTGACGTCTGCCTTTTGGAAGTCAACTGTACATACTATATTAGTATGTAAAGTAAAACAGTTTCTGTTCTGTTAATCAACAGAAGGCGAAGGACAAACAGGCGTGTGCTGCCAGGGAAACAGCTGTGTGCCGTCAGGGAAACAGACGTGTGCTGAGAGGGGAGGTGGAAGGCCTAGCTGCCTGTCTGCGCACTAACTGTACATTTATTTACATTGCACTGTAGATTTAAAGTTAAGGAGCGTTTCACTGTTAACACATTCTAATTAAAAGTTATCAACTGGTGTTTAATTGATTAGATGCTTAGTTCAAATACCCTAAGTTTGTTCTGATGCACTCACCGTGTCTTGGTTTAACTACCCATTTATGTTGTATTTTTAGGTGGAATAATTTCACTATATTGTTTTGGACAGCTGCAGAATAAAGGTTTATTAGTATGACTCAGTAATTTTAGCTCCTACGTGCCCTTGTTTTAGAGGGGGTAGTTGTAAGTGCGAGAGTACAATAAAGGGTGTAACAGCAGAGTGGAGAGTGGTAGGGACCCCAAGAGAGTAATATTGGCAGTGAGTGGAAGAACTGTAGCTCCCTTATTACCCAGAGCCCAGGCTGACTGGAGAATGCTACACATGAAGAAGTTACACAAAGGATGGTTACTATTTAGAGTAACTGAGACTGCACTAATCAGCACACAACCTGTATTATTGTGTCTGTAATGGGCTAATCAAACAATCTGCAGTGAAATAGTGTTAATCACATACCGTCTACCTGTAAACCAAAGAGTTTGTATTAAGGAGGATGAGGATCACAACTGAGGCGGATGTGGAGTGACTGCAGTAGAAGAGCAGTAACACCACCTAGTGGCAGCTTAAAGTCACTGCACAAAGAGACCAAAACCTGAAAGGATCGAGCCACTGTAAGCAGCAGTCTGCAGTCAGTGTCATATTTAATAAGAACCACCACTTTATATCCAACAGGGGAGATTCAGCACAACCATAAGATCTTCAGTTTTTTTTTAAAGAAAAAATATATACAAAATGCAAAGTTTAAAAAGTTCATATCAAGCCTTTTATTTGGTATACAGATATTCATAGATTTATACAGTATATATAGATATATGTATATATGTAACACATGTGCCACTGCAAAATCACAGACAAACTTATTTTACTAAGAAAACGAAAGGAAAAAGAAAAATATATAATGTGCTTAATTTCAAAGTAGTGCCGTGAAGCGCTTGTAATAAATGATGACCAGAACCGGAATGATGAGGTAACTGCCAGGCAGGAAAACAGTCACTATAAGGGTTGAATAATAATAACAATAATATTAACAACAATAATAATAATAATAATCTACTGAAATAAATGGATCAAATAGGCAACCAAAAAAATATAGTGGCAACATGGACCCTTAGTGTCAAACTAGAGAAAAGGATTTAAGTCTATAACATACATACACACATAGTATGCATACAGACAGACAGTGCATAAACGTACAAACAGGAAGTAAAGTCAGTCACTCATGAGAGCAAAAACTCTCCGATGTTGTTAACTCTTGTCTGATACACAACAGAAACTCAGGCATGCTCCAGGACATCTAAAAAATCTCTCTCTCACACTCTCACACTCTCACACACAACACACCACACACACACACAGTAGACCACAGCCCCTCAGCATTACAGGGCTGGACCAAACAATGCTTGCACAGTTGTGGTGCATCCACATGTACACACACACACAGACACACACAGACACACACACACACAACACACACACACACACACACACACCCCCCATTACAGAATAGTGGTCAGGCAAAGATGTGAAGACCTGCATTCATGTGAATAGGAAACACTAATAGAAGGGAAATGACCCAAGGTAAAATAACTGGGGAAGAGGGAATCAGATAAAAATCATATCCAATGTTAATGAGAAGGGATAAAGATTGAAAGGATAACAGACAAGCAGGAAGCGCTGCACAAAAAGACAAGGAAGTGGTGTGTGTGTGTGTGTGTTGTCTGTGTGTCTGGTGTGTGTGTGGTGTGTGTGTGTGTTGTGTGTGTGTGGTGTGGTGTGGTGTGTGTGTGTTTGTGAGCACGTACATGTGTATCATTGTATCAGGAGCAGGTAGTGCTGAACGTGTTTGACAGACAATTAGGAGCGTCTGGCTCCCTCATGTGGTCACTCGGAGTCTCTCTGGACCTCTGAAGCGTCGGCCCGACAAATGGGACACGTCCTGTTGGCCTGAGGACAGAGAGCGGAAACAAAAATGATCCAGTTAGCTTTTTAAAAAGGCAGCTCATATCTTTAATCACACAAAATGTCCGATTCTAAAACTGCCCATTTGGACAGGAACTGAACTCACCCATCAAAGAGTGCTGCTATTGATTTAAGATGATGACTTTCCTTTATTCGTTTTGTATTGATTTGTAATCCTATAACCCAATTTACACTGAGGCTTTGAGCAATACCTCGTGCCTTTAAATCATAAGACTGTGTTATGATTAACACAAGAACTTGGTGTTCAACTGACCTTTTTTTTTTTTTTTTAGCAGAAAGAAAATTTCAGAAAGGAAATTCATATTGGAGGTATGTGTACAGCTTCTTCTCATCTTCCTGTCCTGGTTTTTTTTAGACACAAGTCTAAATGATCTAACAGATCTCTGGAAGAGTGACATTCTCACTACACATCTATATTTAAGAAGTGTCTGTGTCACTTAATTAACACATACTTGAACTGAGAGTGTGTCTTTAAACAAAAAATATGTTTTTCCTCCTGGTAAGTTACTGATTAAATCTCTAAACGCAGCATTGCCAGGTCACTTACCAAAAACCTTACACCGGTCATCTGTGCACCTATTATGTGACACTTTTGCTTCAGAGATTTAAATCTATAACCAAACAACGTGTAATAGATCTTTGTTGGGGTTGTATATGTGTTTTACGTGGACACATTGTGAGTGAGTGGGCTCCATGGGGTCGGTACTTACCCTCAGCCACTTGTCGACACACTTCCCGTGGAACTCGTGGCTGCAGGGCAGGACTCGCAGCAGTTGGCGGGACTCAAAATCACTCATACACACCACACACCTGCAACACAACAGGTACTAGCATGTAAAGAACGGCAACACAAAAAAAACAAACACTTTTTAGACCCTTTACTCTGTAATCACTGAAACAGTCTTCTTGTACCAACAAGGAATACGTCTCCTCTTACTACGATTCATGCACCATCTGTAGGAAAAGTTGCTTTTAGGAATATTCTTTGAAGTTGTTTAAGCTTTGTGTAGCTTAATTATTATATAATTTCACAAAATATGTAACTAATAAATATTAGCCTCTGTTAGAAAAACAGCAAATGTACCAAAATCCATGTGCTGGTCTTGAGGGGCTAACACAAAACTCAAGAGAATAATTCACCGTACGTGCAGTGATGACCTGGTGGTTGCAAAAGGGCAGCACTCACAGTGTTTGTTCAGACTGATGGTTATTTGGATTGAACCGATAGGAAGGAAGCTGTTCAATGTCTCCCTTGGTCAGTCCTCGGAGTTTGGCCTCTCCCAGACGCTCAGCGAGGTTCAGGAGGGCCTGTGGGGGAAAAAAACATCAAAACAAAAAAAAACATTAGCCACAACAGAAGAATCAGAGTCTGCATCCAGCAAACGTACAGACAGAAGAGTAAAAACAAAATCAGATAAACACGAACCTCATAATTCTCCACTTCTCCGTCGTCTACATCCAGCTCGAGACTGATCGCAGGACCTGTTGGCTGGACTGGCAGCATTGAACTGCAGAGGGAGAGATATAATGGAGACATTTACAAGTTCAGTTTGATCAGAGAAGATAATTATATAATAAGCTGTGTAGCTGTAGGTTTTTTTTTTCTCTCAACACTTAACAAAAATAAGTTGTGATAGCTTAGCATTAAGTTGAATAGTTAATGGCCAATCTTATTTTAAATATTAGGACAAATTACGGTGGCCGCGAAACGTTATCTAGAGCCAGTGTATGGTTTATCCATTCTGGGCTACCGTAGAAACATGGCAGACTCCATGGACGACCCACAGTGTCTGTAGGTATAAAAAGCTCATTCTAAGGTAACAAAAACCAATATACATTCAGCTGATTATACACTAATGACAACTGATCCTGCTGATCCTACGAAATGTTACACACTGGACCTTTAACTTGTAACAAATCTTTTGTTAAAAAATGACTCATTTGTCTTTGTTTTCCTGACTGATTTAACTCATGTCTAAATTAGTAAGACCTCTCAAAAGGTCCTTATCTTGGAGAAGACTTTTAATATCTTTGTAAAGTTTCAACAAATAAAATCTGACACTTTATTCTCAGTTTATAAATAACAAAAAAATAATCGGTTCTAATGGCCTTCTTTTGCCTTCTCCAGGTCTAACTAATCAAACTAGATTTCAAAAAAGAAAAGAAAAAAGGACTGGTGGATTTGTTTGAGACATTTCCTTTTCTGTTCTGTTCTATCTAAAGTAATAGACGTCACCCAATATGATCACTGACACCCTTCAACTGGTTGCATATTTCAAAAATAAATCACGTCATTTACTGTATTTTGTACAGTTTGGCCAATAAAAATACCATCTTAGTAATTTAATGTAACTGCTGTACTTACAGGAAGTAAGGCAGGAGGCTGGGGTGGTAAGGCGAAGGTGGCAGTGGCTGTTGTGAGCGGTACCGTCGCCCAGGGAGACGCCGAGGAATAAAGTTTGGATAGGACTAGAGGGCAATTGGGAACACAGATATGACAAGTTAAAAAAAAAAAAACACAAAATAATTAATGTTTTATTAAATTATTCTTATTTCTCACCACTCCGAAGAATTCCTGTGGCAAGGGGTCATGGGAGAGGAAGTGAAGCTGTGTGGAGTGTGGGGTGAGGGCAGGGTGGGTGGCAGGAGGATAGTGGAGCCCAGCACCCAAAGAGAGGTGCTCTCCAAGCAGCTCTACGTCATTCTCTATCCTCTGTAAAGGCTGAGGGTGGAGAGGAAATATGCAGAAAATGTAAAAAAAAAAAAAAAAAAAAAAAAGGACAAACAAAGTTCGGATAGGACTAGAGGGAAAAACACTCATTGTTGCCAGCTCAGATTATTTTATGTGATCACAGCAACAAGAGCAATTGAAAAGAATTCAGACACATAGAACATATAGGTGATAAGGATATATTATAGAACATATAGACATTATTATAATACAGATATTTCTTATTTAACTGTAATAGCACAAGCAGTTTTCCTCAGTGGTGTTTACTCATTTTACTGTAACTTTGATGTTTGCAGCATAGGTGAACATCTTAAAAACACCTTATTTCAGAGCATGTCCTGATTTATTGTTACTTTACATTGTAAAACACCTTTGCTGCTGTTTTTCATACAGCAGGTGGAACATATGAAACTCCTCTGAAAGATGCTGACTGTCACACTGGTTCCTGGAGCAAACGCTTTCTTTTAGGTAGTTTTTAGAGATGCCCATAAAGTTAGAGATCATCAACAAAAATCTTGTCCTTTCAGACCTTCAATGCCGCAACGTCAACAAAAGCTGCACCGGCTACCGAACAATTCCTACTCACCGATCGGGCCTGCTGTGTCGGATAGGGTCCAAACTGTCCAGGCTGAGGCAGGTGAGGTGGGTGGTGGGAAAGATGTGTTGGGGGATGGGGGAGGTGAGGAGGGGGAAGCAGGAAGGTCGGATCACTGGACAGCAGTGATGGGAATGGGTAGGGCATGGGTAGGTGCTGCACAGAACAAGTCTGAAGGACCTAGCAGAGAGACAATAAGAAAACGATTATGAAAATCTGCAAACGTGGAAACATTCTGACCAAACTACACAGCTAAATGTCTGATAGAAAGACACACACACTCACAGGAGGAGGGACACTGCAGACGGGATAGTGCTGTCCACTGAAGACTACTGAGCATGCTGGGATCTGCTGAGGGGCGGAGCGAGGCGGCAGGCCTGGTGGCGCTCCCGGAGGAGACACAGGATACGAGACAGGAGCTGAACCCTAAATATAGAGATGAAAAGGGACAAGGTCCTCAACTTTACGCACACAGAATGGAGTTACAAGACTTAAGCCACATTGTCTAGATAGTAAATAAAAAATATCATAACCTCAAGTCGACCAGGGTTTCCCAAATAAAGGCATGTCCAAAATTAAAATGTTCATGATTAACAGACTGCTTCGTGATTTAATGACGCCCACAAGAGGATGTCTTGCAGTTACAGTAGTATTTTTAAGAAAAGAGCAAACCTTTTCCATGTTGTAGTTGGCAATAATTTGTGGATACGAAATCTGATATGAACCTTGTTGAAATATTAGTTGAACTGAATTTCATTTATTGAAGTCAAACAACTCAACTCACTCTTTCATTTGCAAAGAACTTGCAGATGAAAATTAAACCTGGGACCGACTTTATCTACTGATTCTCATCAAAGTCAATAAGAAGTGTAATGTTTTGCACTCTGTGTCTAGCGATGATGATAAAAACTGTAACACCATCAATTAGCGATAGTCATAAACTATTTGTTAAATATCGTATATGATGAAATAAAAAATAATCGGTCTTGTATTCGGCTTTCTGAAGAAAAAAAAAAAACACAATTTCTTAAGGGTTATAAATAAAAATCCTCTCAGACAATAAAAAAACCACACTTATTTTCCTGAAGCATCTCCCCCTGTAAAAAACAAGACAGACATGCTAATAGACAGACCCACATACACCAGCTGAATCTTTCACATACATGGTGACGATTAGTTTTCTTTGATAACTTACAGGAAATGTCGTCGCTGCTCTGAAGATCAAACCAACCACAGTAAGACATTAAAGTAAAATTATAGTAGTCATACTCTGTGTAGTTGACATCTTCAACCGCAAATAACTGAATGGTTTAATATGACATTGTATTGTTTTTAGATGTGCATTCTTTTCATGCCGCACAAGAATGAGACGCACACATAAAACACAAGAATAAGACTACCTTTAAAAAAAACACATCAGTCATAAACAGTAAGTCATGTTTTCTAATTTCAGAGGTCAAGTGGAATCATTTTAGTCCTTTTTCAACTGTATAAATATGTGGTTTTATGAAGTCACCTGTTCATGGAGGTCCAGCACCATACTGCTCTGTTGCTGGGATGGATGGGGGTGTGGATGTGGGTGCGGGTGCTGTGGATGGGCCGCAGGGTGCAGCAGCCTGGGAGACAGATTCGGTGACTGGTGGAGGGGCCTCGGGGAGGGGTTTGGGGGATGGTGACCTGGGCGCTCTTCAGGCCCGGGCCCCAGCCCTCGGGGAGGTTGCTGGCTGTAGGGTGGGTAGCCCAGAGGTGGAGCCGGGTGACGGTAGTTCTCATCCTGGTGGCCTGGCGACGGGCCGTGGTGGGAGTGCATGTGGTGGTGGTGATGATGGTGGGCGTTGGGGTGGTGATGGTGGTGGTGGTGGTTGTTGTTGTTGTTGTTGTGGTTGTGGTTGTTGTGGTTGTTGTGGTTGTGGTTGTTGTGGTTGTTGTGGGCGTGGTGGTGGTGGCGAGTCAGACGGTCTCTCCGGCCACGCTGGCGTCTCATTGGAGGGCTGAGGTGGAAGAAAGAGGGGAAAACTAAAGAAGAGGCAAAAGGAGCCATTTGCATCATTAGAATTCCAATACTAGGGCTGTCACCTACTGCAAGTGACTTAAAAGAATACTCCACCAATTTTGTGTTGGACGGCCGATGGACAGTTCAAGACAAAACTGATCAAAATCAATCCAGCAGAACAAAAGATATCATCTTTTTTATTTCACACATTCCTTGTTGAAACGCCTATATTACCCACAATGCAACTGTTTGTTGTTAGAGATTTGGGTGTGTTATGTAACTAGCAGCTAATGTAGTCTCGAGCCATTAGCCTCAAGCAGAAATGAAGAGCGGGCTACAGAGGTCTGGTAACCGCACGTCTTTCTAACTCCACACCTCCTCTGACGCTGACTGCTCACTTAAGGCCATCGGATTTCATACAGGTCACTCTGGAAGCCCAAAAGGGTTTAAACAGCTTTTTTCACACATAGTAAACAGTAGTGGTCCCCAAGACCTGTTAACAGACTGATTTGTAAAAATCGGTGGAGTTTCCCTTTAAGTTTCACTATGAAAACCTGACTGAAGTTTGAACACATAATAATGACAGAAAGATGGACAATAGAAGATAATGCATTTTACCCATAAATTAAAGCCATGGATGCTTTCACTGCAAACCAATGTATCAGAACAGGCAGATCAGCACTAAAGTCATTGATATTTTTTATATTTAACTTAAACTCAAATATTGAAATTTATCAGCAGCTCTCTAATGAAGGCAGCCTCAACGCACACAGGCAGACGCAGTCATGCATCACTAAACATCACTACAATTACTGATGCTTTGATATATTCAAGCATTTTGTTTTTGAGTTTGCTCATCTGGTTTAAGACCATGAATCAAAACATATTCATTGTAGGGATTTAACTAATGATTATTCTCATTAGCAATTAATCTGATGATTATTTGTAGATTAATCAGTTATTATTTGTACAATAAAATTAAAAACAAATATGAAAAAATCTTTAAATGTCCTGTTTAGCAACTCTTCACAATTTGAGAGTCTAGAACTAGAGAGTATTTAGCATTTTTGCTTAAAAAGTGATTATTAAAATAGTCGCAGAGTATTATTCTTAACCACAAACATACTAATAATTGCAGCTTTATTTCAATGCTTTGACTAGTGCCTGATTGGCATCAGTCAGCCAAAAAACATCCTGGCTGATTAATTCTTATGGTTTGTTTCATACAGTTGATAACTGAACACTTGTGTTTTTTGAAGGATGATCAGACAGAATAAACAAATTCAAATAAACTAGGGATGACATTTGTCATTCTGTTTGACATTTCAACAATTACCAGGTTAATGATAAGAAGATTCTATGTATTTGTGACATATACTTACCTGCGTCGGTTGCGAAGAGGTGTATGGCATCTCTCTGGCATGTAGTGGGGGTGTGGTCTGCGACTGGGAGGCAGCTCCCAGGGGCGAATGGGAGAGGAAGGAGTAGAGGGAGGGGCGGAGCTTAGATCCAACATGGACTGTTGGGAAAGACGCTGCCTTTTCGGGCTCGGGCTGTCTTCCATCTGCACACAGAGGTAAAGGAGGAGGGGGAACCAGGGGGATGGTTGGTTAGGGAAAAACAAAAAAAAGGGGACAGACAAAAGGGCAGAATGAATAAGAAACCAAAGACATACAAATCCTATTCAAACCAGGAGCAAAGCAGAGGCAACAGGCAGTGGTCATGTTTCATACTTACTTTGTCCCGATCCTCGCTGCACACATTATCTGGATGGAAATGTAGCCCTCCTCCTGTAGGCCAAAGAGGAAAAAAAAAACATAATCAGATAAGATAGGGCTGAGAAAAACGTCAACATCACAAGACACATGGACATACGCTCGCTAAGCCAACAGAAACACAACAACACTAACAACACACAGGCAGCTGGGTGCCTTTGATTTTAAGACCCCGCTGGATGCCAAAAAAAGCGTATCTTGATGAAGCCTGGCTGATTTGCTTTGAGCAGACTTAAAACTATCAAATCCAACAGTGATAAAAAAAAAGTGCACCCAACATCTTGCTTCACAAAGAGAGTTACACTCCTCCGTCCTCAGCAAGGCTCTGTCTTCCAAACAGGCTTTTGAATTTCCTGCTTTAAACAAGCAGACAAGAGAAGAGGCCATCTCTGGAAGTTGTCATACCGGACTCGTCCTCTCAGACAAATCATTCCTCTCATCTACCATGAAAACCCCGTACAGACTCAGAGAGACACAGACATCCACGACACACCAGAGGGCCTTGTTGGCTGTGTACACATAACCTTGTTTAAATGCGGATAATGACTTTTGTCTGCAGTAATCAGCTCATCATCACATTTCTCCAAGTTACGATTGTGTATGATCAAAATGTGAAATTATTAAATCGATTAATTGATTGAGAGAAAACTAATCTGTAATGGTTAAAGTCATTCATCAAGCAGAAATGCCAACCACTACCTCAATTATGCTTCTCAAATATGAAGATATATAATATAGAATCAGCAATAATACCATAGACTGGAGTGACACTGTCCCTGTGGAAAGCCTGGCTTTAAGTCGGTGTGATGGCAAGCCTCTGAGCAAGGCAGTGAACCATTATTAGCTCTGCAACAACAGCTCAGTCTCCATTTTTTTTAATCTCCTTTTGATGAACAAGCGATAAAAATCTCTCTCCAAAGATCAATAGACCATCACAAAAAAAGGACTCTTTAATGACATGAATGAGATCAGTAGATTCAAAAACAATGGGAGAAAAGTCACATCACTGAATAAAGCGGCAATACCATAAACATAATCTTAAAGAACACAATGCTCTCCCAGCTGTTTATCTGACAGTCCACATGTGCAATCTGGATGCAGCATGTGCACGCAAACATTTCAGCAGCTTAAGAAGGATGTCCTTGAACTCAGCTGACAAGAGTTTCCTCTAAGCAGTCCCCCAAAAACCTTTAATCACCAAAAAGAAGAGGGGAGTAGAGCTTCCCCCCCCCCGACTCCCGTCCCCTCATCTCTTTTTCCCTCTATGCCTCCCTCATCCAAACAGCCCCTTCTGTCTCCTCAGAAACAACAGATCTGAAAGCAACCCCCCACCCCTTTCTTGTCTTTGCGACGCCACTCCAGAGCCATGTGAAGTCTGCCGATAGTGACAGCTCAAAGACGCCCTGCTAGTGGCTGTGGAGAACAGAGGGATGGTCGGTTGACTGACTAGCCAACAGTAGGGGCAAACACACTGGCTTATATCTTTATCGTCTACCATCCCTTTTTTCTTTAGACCTCGTGTTCTAAAGGGGAACTAGGTCTGTTAACGCCGATTCACCCTGGAGGCCAAAGGAGAGGGTATGGTGAGACAGACTGGACGGCTTTCTGTTGGCGATCAGACACAACCTTGTTTCCTCGGAGCATGGCTGCTGGGGAAGACTGACACCATTTCTTTCACAACACACAATCAAGTCAGGCCGGCAGGATAGTCAACTTAAGAGTATCAGCTGTCATCAAGCAGCAATTTGCTCTGTTCTTTAGCTGACATACAAAGACTCGAAGCATTATTTAGAAGAAACACGCCAAAAATAGATAGTTATTTTACCCACAGAATCTTTGGAAATCTCATGTGACAACAGTATTAACGAAGATCTGCAGAAACTGAAGTTTGCAATGCGGGCAAGTTGTGGGATGCAACAATCAATATTAAAGCTACACTGGGTGATAACATGCTTGACACTGGGGGAGTGAAAGGGGAGGAGAAACGGAGAAGGAAAAAGGGAAAAACAACAAGACCGAGGGAGACATTTTTAACAGCCCCCAAATCCAACCCCAACACATTCTGCATAATGTGATGCCAAGAGGTGTAATACGGTGACATGTACAAAAACAAGCACAGACAAACAAGAAATCTGACTACCCCTTAAAATACACTCTTATTTTGCTTACACACAGAACATGCTATACACACACACACACACACGCAGTTGTCTAGGAAGAGGCATGTGCATCTGTTAAGAAGGAGGCAGATCACACAGCTGGGAGATACACTGTAAGTTATTCACACAAACCCCTCTGTACTCTCTCAATTTGGGAAGCATGTGTTTTTGTGTGTGTGTGTGTGCCCTCTGTGGGTTATTTTGGGTGTTTGGCAAAGAGTGCTGCTATTACGACAGAGGAGGCCCATTAAAAGCCTGCTTTCATTCATTCACTGCACTTTTTTTTGCCTTTAAGGGCAGCCAATCTGGTATTACAGAAGGTATTACAGTCACTTTCCAATGGTCAGCAATGGAAACCGGCTGAACACTGAATAGACTGGTGTCAATGTGGACAAACGGTAAAGGGACGCCAGGGTGCAGTCTCACTTTGAATTTCCTGGCAATTTAATTTGTTTATTCCTCTTTTTTCATTGTCGTCTTAGTGAGTTTGGGTTGGGTTGGGTTAGGAACCACTGCTGTTGTAGGCACAGAAAGCCAATTGAATACCTGTTCAATGCAAATACATTTTGAATTGACAAAGTGAAGAAACTAACACAACTCTTGGTAATTCCTCTATTTCAGACAGTACTTTGAAACCACTAGATGAGAAATGTGTTTGACTATAGAGCTGTGCACAGGCTAGAATATAAGTTGAATAGCATTAAGAGACTTATGGATGAAAGGGCTGATTGTGAACTACAAGGAAGCCTACATCACAGCAGTGAGCAATCTGAAAGATACAGATAAAATCACTATCAGAAAGAGATAATTTCAAACCATTTTGAGGCTTGTTTCAACGTTTCCAAACTGCTCTTTTAATCAGACTTTTCTCAGACACTTGCAAAGACTGACAATGATTATGTAGGATGTCCAAACCACCAGGCAAATGCATCTGTTCATGATCTGATGACCAATGAAAGCAAACTCTGCTCTTGCCCATTACAGTTTGAATGTGTCCACTGACCAACCAGCAGATAGATTTTATTTATTCAGCACAGGGCTCAAAATTAGCACCAGCCAAATGGTTAGTGAATATTCAGATTTTGCCAGCCACTCAATGGTTTAACATTGGCTGGTGAGTGAAGCAAATCTAACAGACATTTGCATATTTTACAATCATTTGGCTAGCAAACAAAAAAATAGTTAATTTTGCATTTAAAGTTTAGTTAAACTAATTAGTGAGTTATCAGATTACCTATAGCCATACTTTCCTTATGTCCCGACTAAAGCCGCAGGAGTAACATAATACATATGACCTGCAGGCCCTCAGCACCAACATGCCTGGATTATCCACTGGGAATTTCTGCAGTCCTGGATTCCTACTGAGCATAAAGCCAGGCAATGACATACAAGACAAAGTTCAAGAACCTGGGTGCCTGCCCAATTTACCTGAGTAAATGCTATTCAAACCTCTAAAGCAGAACCTGCACTACAACACCTGACATGACATAAAGCTGGCCTTTCCAGCAACAGCTGGCAGTGGAAGCACCAAAGCCTTTTAGTTAAATGTCTCAAAGGCTGTTAAGCTGCAAGTGGTCTGCCTACTTCCCTCAGGGTTTGTATCCTGTGTGAGTGTGTGATGATGCCATCTTTTTTTGTGGCTGCCAGGCCCTGTTTACTGGAAGGCCTACTTACCGGCCCGGGCGGTCTGCTTCTGGTGAGGCTCCGTGCCGCAGGAGCTTGGCCGCTGCGGCCCCTGCCCGCGACAGGGTAGCCTCCACCTGGGGGTGTGGCTTGACTGCTGGCCTCTCCCGGCCGTAGCCCTACGGGACTCTCCGTGGTGCGGCGCCCAGCCGGGGTTGCTCTGCTGCGGGTAGCTCACTCCTCCTCCTCCGCTGGCGTTCATCATGCTCCCGTTACCCACCGCGTTACCACTGCCATTGCTCCCAATGTTGCCGTTCATGCCGAAATGATAGAAGCCAGACCGAGACCGCGACCGAGTCCTCGGGGGGTCCATGACTGTGAAAGAGGAGGAGGAGGAGGAGGAGGGAGGAGAAGGGGGGCGGTGGTGGTGGATGGACGTGATGAAGGTAGGCTGGAGAGATGGACGTACAGAAACGGGCAGGAGCCTCCCTCTTCAGACCGCTTCTCTCTACCCACCGAGTTACCTCTGAAGACGAGCGGCTACTGCGAGTGTTTTCTGAGGCATTTAAAGCCGCTGTCTCAATACACCGAGCGGGGATACCTGGAGGCAGCGGGTTCAGCCCTCATATGTCGCACAAGCACCATCTGCATCACATCCACTCCTCGGTATCTGTGCGGAGACCCTTTATTTATTCTATCACTTATGAACGCACATGAGTATTTTTTTTATTTTTTTTTAAAGAAGAGGATATTGCAGCTTATTATTATGAATTATGAAATTATGAAAATACTATTTTTATCATGGCTTTAGTTGTCAGTGGGGTTTTCGTCGGGGCCAGAACAACAGCTGAGAGAGTCTCAGGTTCTCTATTGTCTTTTCACAGTGGAAGAAGAGTCAGCTTTTCTCCCCACGGAGAAATAAAGTATTTTTAAAAAGGCAACAGTCGCACGTAATTGGATCCTACACCAGTAATCCCACTGCCGACGCTTATATTAACGAGCAACTGCAACAAAAGTTAACATCCTTCGCTCTCTGCAAACCCCAAAAACAGCTCAAGTTAAATTCTTAAACCTCTTCAACACAAGCAAGATGGCTAGCTGTCGAGCGCTAGCAAACTAAAAGGAAACCAGCTGCCCCGGTAGCGGGCTGTGAAACAAAGTTATTAGCATAGGTTCGTGAATAAATTGCAACTAAACTGCGACGGGTGAGCCTTTGTGTAAGTAGTAAAGTTACACCCCTTCGCGTTGGCTAACTATACCTGCTCGTTCATTAGCATAATTCCGATTTTGCAGCTAGCCCGAGGCTAACAGGAAGCGGAGTCTAGAGGGAAAAACAAGTCCAGTGCCGACATTACGAGCTAGCTAACGTCGCACCGTGTCGAGGTGAGGCTCGTCGTTAAACAGTGTTAATATCGGATTACCTCGGACTGCGTGAGGAAACAGACAGCTACCTTATCCGTCAAGTGAGGCGGACAGTATTTGTCCAATTTAAATCCCCTCTCGCATTCGCTATCGAGTGTTTTCTCTGGTCAGCGGGGAGTGTAGTGGAGATCAATCAATGGGAGTTTCACATCGCTCTCCAGTCACTCCCAATCGATCGCAGATCAACACGTAGCTCATCACAGGCCAAACCCGCAGTTTGTTTCGAGATAAATCACATGGACCTAAAAGCGAAGATACATTAACATCCGTGCAACACCCGTTAAAATGTTTTTTGTTTTATTATCAGCCGTTTATGTCGATTTTAAGGAGCAGCTTGTTATCGGAGTCGACTGCTTTAGTCTGGCAAACCCCGGGCAGCTGCTCAGTTCATTAATAATTCAGCAGCTTCATACCAGAAATACTATAAGACAACGCTTTGAAAGCCGCTGGCTTCATACGGCTTACCAGGTAGATGAGCTCTACATACACTGATGGTGAAAGCATTCCTCGATATGTTATATAAACCTAAACACACACACCTATATGTTTTCAGGTATCAGTCGTCACATAACAATCCTCCACCCGGAACACAAATCATACAAGAGGTTACAAGAAAATCCATGTTTATTGTCGTTTTTACAATATAAATATTAGTCTTTACAAAGGTCCATCAAAGCTCTGTGCCTCTGACCTGATTTCATGTACTGTAATGACAGAAAATAATATGTTACAGTAAAACTAGCATTAATATTTAGGGAGATAATAAACCACCCTCTGCAACATGGTACATGAGCCAAAAAGCAGACATAGAGTGTAAAAACATATTCCAAAATACTGTATTACTGTATACTGTAATACTGAATGTCGAAAACTTGGCACAGCCAGAATAACAGTAGTAGATGCACTTGAGGAACAAAGTACATTCACAGCAGTCACACTGAAGACGAGCGTCCGTCAACTGTAAACTCTAGTTTTTTGTATTATAATACATAAATTAATCTATCAAAGACATACAAAAAATATGTTTTGTTATTAGTTACATTTATTACACCTTAAAAATAAAAAACAACCACACTTCATCTTCTTCGGTGGCGTACTCTTTGTTTCGGGGAAAGAAGGTTTTCATTACTGATGTTTACGTCACCATAGGGATATAAATCCCCATGTTTTATCCCTCCTCTCTTCTTCCACCTCTCTGCCTCTCCACTTCTTCTGCCACCTTCCTCATTCCTCCTCCTCTTCTTCTGTGGAGTGGATGCAGACTGCCTGTGACCGTGGAGTGGAGACCTGAAGGGTTCTGCTGAGCAAACTTCATCATCAAAGCTCCCCCGGGATCTCCCCAGTAGTCCTCCTTCTCGTCTTGCTTGAGCCTCTCTTCTCAGCCTCTTCACCTCCCTCCTCTCTCTGCGCCTCTCTGGCCACGTCTTCCTCCTGCCAGCCCGGCTACATGTCTCCTGGGTTGGCCTGCTCCGCCCTTGGACTGGCTGATTCTCCTCGCCGCTCTTAGCTGCTGGTTCAGAATGCTGCTGGTCTGAGAGAGGAAGGGATCCAGCACTCACAAGCTCTGAAAACACAGCAGAGAAAAATAAAATTCCCCTTGATAAACGGTGTATAGTTTAAGAGGCTGCTGTTTGCAGCAATACAAATCCACATCCAAGAATCATCAACCAACTCCGCAGTTCTTCTCAGTTCTATGGAGCGCTTAGTCATTCAGATAATTTGTTGGTTTAACGGCCCGCAATTTAACTACTGTGATTCACTCTCACTACTCTCATCAACCCTGTTTTCAGACAGCTTGCTTCAAAACTCTGATAAAACCAAATACGCTACCTGCACAGAGAAAAAAAACGTCAGGCAGAAAAAGGTAGCGACCAGAACTAAATGCACCATTTAGCAGCTAAAGATAAATAAAAACAGATGAAACAGACCTGAAATTGGTTGCCAGTTTATTAGGTACACCTAGCTAAAACTAATGCAGTAACATGTCCAGTAATAAATCCTACCTTCATGAAGATTATGTACATTTTTTGTTGAAACTGTTTAAAAGAGGTGTTGATTCAACTGTATGGTCGTTTTGGAGGCTGCAGTTTGAGGTGCTGATCTGTATTGAGTGATCTAACTGCTGCCCATTTCGACTGACTTTATCCAAGCAGGTCTAAATCACAATAATAACCCATTCAAGATATGGTTTCCAGGTACATAGGAGGCCTCAAGCTACACTTCTCAACTGGATAGTTCATCACACATTGGCAAGATCTCCAAAAAGGAAGTCCAACTGGCTGCACCTCCTCCCCCCATCTTAGGGTTTCATGGATGACATCACAGTAACAACAGAGACTCATGTACAAGCCAGATGGGTTTTAGCATCCATGGACAATTTTCTAACATGGGCCAGGATGAGCTTTAAGGCCAGGAAGTCCAGGTGTATGGTGGTTAGGAGAGTCTGTTCCATCTACTGAGTACAGCCCGATTAAATGTCTTGGCAAGTAGGAATCAGAATCGAGGACCTGATACAGCCAATGTCATAAACACCCTGAAGCAAACCGATTAGTGGCTGAAAGTTATCTACAAAACTCGTGTCACGATTTGATACAATTCACGATACTCGGCTATGATATGATTTTCTCACAATTTTTTTTTATGAAATTAGATTGAATGACTAAAAAAAGATTCCTTTATTTCTCAGACAAAAATCTACTGAATATATTTTCTCTTGTATTTTCTTTATCAAATTAAAGACTTTTTTATTTCTCAGGTAGAGTATAAACTGTTCAAAACTATGCATTTCATTTTCTTTGTAAATGTTAAACTGAACGTGAACTACGGAACATTTTTAGATATTTGTATCGCGATTTGACAATCTTGCAATCTATTGTTACATTCGTACAGTCTTTGAGTAATGCTGCTGCGGGTCTTCACAGTGTACAGTTTTCTCATGACAAGTGAGTATTGACAGGGAAATCAACAGGCACTTATGGAGATGGTTGGGTGTTCCCATAAGCTTTTGTTTTGTGGGTCTCAGCATTAGATCAGGCCAGCTGCAGATTACATTATCACCACTGGTAATTTAAGGAAGCTAAGGTGTAAGCTCTAACATTAAGAGACTCGTAAGATCAATGCATGCGCCAAGCTGGAGTTACGACGTGATCAGGCCGCAAATGGCTGATGCAGCTATTAACCATCATCTGCATTCAGTGCTCTCAAAGGTAAGGCTTTGGCTCTGTGCATTTTAAACAGAAAGTTAATGCAATGCATTAGGAAGAAGGGAGGTACTTCAAGAAGGAATCAAGGAGACATGGGAGCTGCCCAAGAGGAAGCGAACATCCAGCATTCTTAATGCGATTGATATCTTCCCTCACCAACATGTGAGCACACATGGGGGCTGATGGAGGACCCCAGCTGTAAACTGAAGGGGACTCTAGCACACATACTGACAGGGTGCAAAACAGCTCTAACCTAAGTCCTGTATTGGTGGCTCCATGACAAAGTCTGACACGTCGGAGTAGGAGAGGCGAATAAAGCAGCCAGTTAATTGTCTCCTTTGTTCAGAAGAGAACCATGGCAGGCACATCCCACAGGCCTAAACCCTCCATGCTGCAAATGGCAAGGTCTTGGGAGAATGTGCTCCATAGATTGTGTTGTGGTTCCCCAGAAGACGAGAAGATAATCCTGCTGGAATTAACATGGGAGGAGGGTTGTCAAGAGGCACATTAAAGCATAGCCTCAAAATATGAACCTCTAGTGCAGAACTGCAGAGACGAAGGACGGCAGGCAAGGCCGTTCTCCATTGAGGTCGGTTGTAGAGGTTTTTCTACAGCGTCTGTTTGGCAATTGCTGCCGGCTCTGGGTGACCACAGAAAGGGGAAAGGGGATGTAACTTGGCAAATGGGGCAGGAAGCAGACAGTGCCTCTTGCTGAATATGGAGTTGGTGAGAGGGGAGAAGCTGGAAGTCAGGGGCAGATGGGCAGTGACTTGGCTTCTACTGCTTATCCACCAAATGGAGGGTGTCATGGTTGAGGCTCTAAACACCCTATGAAAGTTGTGTTCATCTAAGGCCATCCTCCTCTGAATAAAAGGCTAAACATTCCCCCATTAATAGGTAACCGAAGAGACCTCCAAATGGTGTATGCTGCAATCAATACAACTGTAAAAGGGGACCCTGGGAGGACTAGATGTGTTTTTAATTAGATTCAATTAAAATAAAAAGCAAAATGACAAATTTCATGCACATTTATGTATCACTGTATGTACAATAATACTGCATGTACTATATGTTTAGTCACCTTTGCCTCTTTTCTGCATCCTGGTATGACGTTGGAAGATGTCCTCCATGGTGTCATAGTGGCAAACGTATGGCAGTGAAGGAAAAGTCCCACTGATCATCCTCCTCTTGGTGCACTCCTGATACCGACAGAGGGAGACACACAGATGTACGGAGACAGAGAATGAGAGAAAATGTAAAGGATGGATGTAGAAGAATGGTGCTAATACAAAAAAAACAAAGTGACTAAGGGAGAGAGAAAAGAGAGAGTATATGAGAGAGGTACGTTGTACAGAGGTATACAGAGAGGAAGAGAGAGGCAGAGAGAGACACGAGACAGTGTAGAGAAAGAGACAGAAAAAGAGAGGGATGGCAGATTTAAGGCAGGCAGGGATCGAGCCAAGAAGGAGAGGAGAGGTGGTAAAAAAAAAAAAAAAGAGGATTCCTTTTTATTGGCCACTTACAAAGCCATAATGTCCCCTCTCAGAGCAGTTGTAACAATGAGCAGGGCATTTCTTATGTTTTAGGGTTTGGACTGTCCGTGGCCTGAGTGGAACCTCTAACTGGATCTGAAAAAAAGGAACAAAGAACATTTTTAAACATGGAAAACATTCAATTTCACCAGCCTATCAAAAAACATATGAAGATGGTCCTCTGCCCCCTCCTTTTCGTTTGGATGGTTTCCATTTTCTAGTTTTGAGAAATTTGAGTTGTAAAAGTGTTAAAAGAAGTCGGGATAAGCAAAGTGCAATACACTCAAAACTTCAACTCACTGTCAAGTGGTATTGTCTCCATGTATCTGGGCAGGCCTGAGGAAAACCCAGGAAACAAAAGAGGAAATTATTCTTTTGAGCACTATAGAACAAAGCATTGTGTAACTTGCACTGAAGATGAAAAACTGTTTGCTGAGATCAAACAGCACTTCATAAATGGGGCCCACACACACCTGAGGCTACAGAACATGTCAACACCCAACTGACAAATGCTTTTAAAGTTTCCTCCAACACGGCAACACACTCACAGGGGCCAGACCTCAGGGCAAATGGACAAAACTCACATCAGAGAGATGCCCTGCCATACCACAGCGCTGGCAGTGTTGGTTCCACAGCGGGGGCCTTTCGCAAGGCTTGAAGCCATGTGAACGCAGGCCACAGCTAGGGCAGGGGCGGCCCGGACAGTCCCTCTGGATGTGGCCCTGGATCCCACAAAGGACACAGGTGGGACACTTCTGCTGACACAGAGACAAAAAACGATTTTTACAAGAGTGGTAAGGTGGGTGTTATGATGTTTGCAGTCAGTCCCTACAGGTAATTGTGGGATTACATCAACACTTTTGTCTCCGGTGTCACTTATGGTAGTCTGTAAGGGACATTACCATTAAAAACTGGGTAAGCTAGTCAGTTAAAGCACAAATCAACAGAAACATTAATGTTTTGTCATCTATTCTTCAACTTGACAGCATAATTACACACAACAGAACAGCAAAATATTCCATGTTTAAGCAGATGAGGCCGTAATTGGATAGTTAAAGTATAAAACAGCAGGAAACATCGGGAAGATTGGGATATCAGTTGGACTCAAACAACAGATGTTGTTAAGCATCTTAGATCAATGGGAAACCCCCAGAAGTGGTTTTAATAAAACATAAATCTCATCAGCTGGATAGTTAATTTCAACCTGAATCAGGGTTAATAGCTGTATCAAACTCCTGCAATGACTATTCCTTCTACAAGGCCGTGATATTTGCTTTATATATTTCTATATATAAAAAGGACAGGAGAGTGTGTTCCTTTACCTTGTGGTAGTAGCAGCTTTTGGCAAGGTGTCCCGTCCTGTTGCAGATGTTACAGATGAGAGAAGGACCAGGCACAAAATAGCGAATGGGGAAAGGCTGATACCGTCCGTACTAGATAATATCAGAGAGCAAAGACATGACAGACATCATTTAAAAGGCATTTTATTAGACCACAGACAATTTTCTTACCTTCTTTTGCCACAAATCCATACTGGGAATTCTACTACACAGAGCTTATCTTTACTGTTTTTTAAAGTATTTCTTATACATACATAGATTTGAACAATAAAACAACAAATACAATTGAACAATTTGTTTTTGAATTTGGATTATATAAAAAAATCTCTATTAAAAGATCCCTAACACCAACACAACAAATAGTATTACATGGCTAAACAAAATAACAGTAGATTTCCTTGAATAAATGAGCTCTACTGTAGTATTCCTGAAAATCAATAAAAGTTATTTAAAAAAAGTTACCTTGTCTTTGTCTGATACAGCCCAGGTATCCTTAACTGATTTCACATTATGATCTATAATGGAGAGAATGACAAAGGAGAACATTAAGTTTTGTACAAATAAATGTATACCACAATATAAGCTATAATTTTGTGGTTCTCAGGCGAGCACAATCTTAAAAAAAGGTTTTACAAACAAAGAATGGATCAAGAGTTCTTTCCAAGCCGAGCAAATTTAGTCTTTTCCAGGTATTATGTCTTATAAAAGCTGTAAGTCTCTCAGGGCTTAGAAAACGGATGAAAAACACTTGACCTTCTCACAATAACTATCACTGAGGTGAGATGTAAGGAAATACTCTAAACCTCTCTGCTCCGGTGGAGCTGCTGGCTGGCGAGATAAGATGGAGTGGTTGTGCAGGGCAGCTCCCTGGTGTGAATGTGAGTATCATCATTAATGTGGAAAACAGCATTTTCAGAAAAGGGAGTGCTTGCTGAGCAAAAATACATCAACAGAAATGTGTTTCTATCTGAACACATCTTTATTTTTATGTATACAATATCCCATGTTGAGACACTGACACAATAAATAGCTGGTATTTCTGCTGCGCTGTCTATGAAATATTAGTTAGAGAGAAAAAAAAGATAGATCATTTAATAAAAGCTTTACTTCAACTTAAAATCCCTAAATAGCAACAGCAGTCTGTTTTTTAATATCGTTGTTTTACAGCAGAAATCACATATGTGCTCTCACCATTTCAACTAAAATCACAATAATTAAAATCCTTCCTTTAACTGAGATCACCTGATTTTACCTGAAGAAAGGACTCACTCTTAACCACTGCCATTGTTACACGGTTTATATTGTCAAATAAAAGCAGGTGGAGATATATCTTGAATTTCTGGGCCCGGTTTTGTTGATTTTTGCTGATTTGTACCAACAAGCAAATTGGTTGACACAGTGGTCACACAACACACACACTCCTGATTCAGAGTCACACAGTTGGAGCCCATGTACTGTAACTGACTACAGGTTACAGAGAGGCTGTTGAATTTGATTGTTTCATGTTTTATATAGTTATTTTCTTATTACAAGGCAAAAGTAGACCCTTCAACACTTGTCGATGGACACACTTGGACATATTCCTTGTACTTCACTCCTAGTTTGACTTGTTTTTCCTTCGGGTAACCATTTCAGAATCCCACATTGCAAAATGATCTACTATAAAAACCAGTTCAACACAAAGTTAACCCAGTGTGAGATCAAGAATCGTCTAACCTCCGTCTCCAGACTCATCCTCAGAGCTGTCCCTGTAGCTCAGGTTAAGCTGGATGCTGGAGTCTCCCACCTGCTCCTCTCCTCCCAGGATCATCCACCCCTCAATGGGCTGCTCACTGTCCTCCTCCTGCTGTGAGTCCAGACTGGAGGTAGGCCCCGGGCTGCTGTCCCGCAGTGCCCGTCCAGAGGAGCTGTTGAATGCCAGGAGGAGCGGAGGAGAGCTTCCCCCGCTGAGCCGCGCAGCTCCACCACAGCTGCTGTGAGGTTTGTGGTGACTCAACTCGAGCCCTCCTTCACCCTCTGAACTACTGGACCACTCAATGAAGAAGAGGTTGTCCTTGCCTCTTTTCTCACCGTCGTCATCCTCATGTTCCTTCGTGTAGTCCATAGTACAAGCAGCCGAAGAGCACCGCCCAACGACGGCTCAATGACACTGCTATCAAACAGCGGCGGTAATGGCTAATGGCTCATTTGGGTTACCACTATTTTTCCTTGGTTAGGGAATTTCGTCCTTATAAATGTAGCTTATTGTGAAGTTGTTGTGTAAACATGCAAAGTGTGTACTGACACGTGGGTTTACCATCAGGCTAAGTGGCGCTATGCTAACGTTAGCTCCGTGGTAGCCAAGGCATTAAAGTTAACACAGTTAAATTAACGAACACAAACCCCGTTAAATAAAGTCCATACTGGTACTTCACGCTTACCGCCTTAAGTTCACAACATCTCGCTTGCGACTCCACACAGTACCCGACCCTCTGTTTGCTTCCATACAGCTGAGAGGGTCGTTTCTCTCATTCTTGTTTACATTTGAAGCACTGCACCCGGCGTTAAACAGAAAAAGACTTTACCGGCGTTTCCGGGTGTTAAAATGTTGGACAACAAGAACTGCCCCCAGCGTTTAAAAAAAAAACAAAGTTTGGCTAAAAGTTTAACCCCCTCAGCTCTGGGTGGTTCGGTATTGTACATTTGTATCATAATTTGTAATATAAAGTTAGTAGTCAAAAAGTAATGAATATTATATAACAGGGATGTTATAAATTACGTTTATTTGGTGATGTTCCCATAGCAACGACTTCCGATTTAACTCTGAAATGTATCCTAGCGGAACAGGAAACAACATTAAGTACTTAATTAAAGTAAATACCTCAAATGTGTGAGCCTATCTCAAGAATACAAGTGTAACTCTCTGTTAATAGAAACATACTTGTGTAATGCCCCTTGAGAGTGTTTTTATAAACTGAAGTGTAGCCCTGTTTAATCACACTGACTCACCATTGACCCAAATGGTGGAATCTAGGTTACTACTTCTCATTTCTTCATGTAGTGAATCTGAATCAGCCCATTTCACTAAGAAGATTTATGCTTTTAATGCGAAATAAGCATTGTGGTTTTTCAGTATGTTAATGAGGATTTCAGGGGCTTTAACCCGAGGGCGTCACATAAATATATAAAAACTATATATAAACTTAAACCAGCCTAAATACACTTACATTTGAACATAGGCCAACAAAACTTAAATGGATTTAGTAGGTTATTACCCCACCAGATTTACATTCCTGGTTACTTTTGATTTCATACTGGGCTTTATACTACCTATCTTTTGTCACATTTCACTGTGTGTATTGATAA